TTATCAGCATTATCATCATCATCGTCATCGTCATCGTCATCTTCGTCATCATCATCATCATCATTATCACCATCATTATCATTATCATCACGATCTTCATCACTACTATATACAATCGAGCTAATAGGTTAACATACCCTTTGTCTGTTCCCATTCTTCGTTTTTGTTCTTCTCTTTCTCCACTTTGAATTTTCTTTTATATTTCTCTGCTCTTGCTTTTTCTTTTTTCAATTTTTCCTCCATTTCCTCTTTGATGTCTTTTTTTGTCGCTAGTCTGGCTGCAAAAAGGTGTACATGATTATCAATGGACGAATGCGATACATTGTATCTAGAGAAACGTTAATAAACAATAAGCGGTATATATAGTATTTAAAACCACTGACAATAAGGGCAGCCAGCCAAGAAACTTTTTATCTGTAGAAATACTTAAACAAATTTGCCTTTCATGTCTTGGGATTGTCGTATTTCGTTACTATAATTAATATTACTATTATTATTATTATTATTAATATTGTTATTATGAATGGTCTTAATTCTAAGGATGTAGCAGCTCTTCTAACCCTGTAACAGTGGGAAATAATGAATAAACAATGATGTGTTATTGCTTCTGCGACCAGTGAGAAAACAACTTACGAGCAGCTCTTCAATTACAATTCTTAGGCGAGAACGACTACGAGTACAAGACATTCTCAATAATAAATAGCACACGGCGGGAAAGTGTCATTCAACTACGAGTTTTAGGAAGCATGTCGAAACAGGTTATCAAATGTTATAGCGGAGCTCTCAAGCGCGCGAAAAGCGCGCCATGGGAAAGTAAATCTTGTCTTCACATAAAAAATTGGTAATCACGTGACCGTACACCGCCTCCGACCGTCCGTCCGCACCACAGACATACCGATGTTTTTACTCTCGCACTTTCTAGCTACTTTGGGAGCCCAGGAGAACACTGATTGCACGTCAATGTCGTGATCAATTGACGGCTGTTGGTTCTGACACACACCCAGATTTGTTGGGAAGACTTTGAAAAGTAAACTTGTCGAACACAAAAAAATTCGGCCTGACTTGTTTTCCAGGCCTCATCTACTGTGATCAAGAGCTATTATGACTCTTAAATGCGATCGAAGATGATTTAGATTTTTTGGGCGTACGTATAAGGCTATCAACTCGATGTAAGTTTTTTAGTGGGTTGCCTGTGGCACAGCCTAGTTATGGAATGGGCTTGGTTTTTCCATCTGATATAAGAGTATGCATAAAATAGGTCAGCGGACTTCAGCAGAGTACATAGAAGCAACTCGAGGCTATTAGCAATTCTCCTACGAACGGGACAATTTTGTCATTGTTTTCCGCAAAAATAGTGACAAAGCTGACAACAAAACAAGCAAAGTGTAGATAAACTAGAGGTACTTTGTCGCAAGAAATTTTTAAATCAAGGAAAGGTACAATCTTCTATTACTCAGCGACGACCAGTGCAGGGCTTCACAATGATCTTGGTAAGGCATTTTGCCCCTTCGCTGACCTAAGGCCAATTGCGATGTCCTTTTCTGCACTTTTTCTAAATGGGCAATGTCTTTGACAAGGAACAGACTCGATACATGTGATGCATTCTCAAGTATTTGTCTAACGAGAGACATGTATGAAGTGAAGAAAATGTTCTTTTCTGCAGAACCGACTGTATATTCTTTATAAGACCAAGGACATTATTTGCTTTGTTAACCGCCTCAACTATGTGTGAAGTCTTTGAAAGGTTGCACAAGTTTGTAATGCTGGGGTCTTTTACAGAAGCCACTGAATTGTTCTCCATGAGGGACAAGTGTATAATTCCGGACAGATTTGTCTTGAGCGCGTGTTACCCGCATAACTTAAGATTTGCTCACATTGAAATCTAGTCACCAGGTATCAGACCTACCCTTGAGGCGGACCAAGTCAGACTGAAGGGCGTCCATGTATTTAGTAATGTCGGAGATCTCTCTAGAAACTTTGTTGTCGTCTGAATACAGTTTAACCGTGGACGAAATTTCGGATGAGGGGTCATTGACATATAACATAAATAAAACTGGTCCGACAACTTTTCCCTGGTGTCCGCCCGTAGATAGATAGATAGATAGATAGATAGATACATACATAGATAGATAGATACATAGATAGATACATAGATACATAGATAGATAGATAGATAGATAGATAGATAGATAGATAATCTTTATTTATCCACGGTACAAAATTCGCCAGCTTTAAAAATGCCTAATACTAATATAATAAAAAATATTTAAATAAAAAAGCTGCTTTCCACGAATGCCGTGCCTTACAGTTCTTTGAGTAATCGTTTAAATTGCCCAAGGGACTCTGCTTCCCTTAAGTTACAAGGAAGACTGTTCCAGAGAATGGCGCCACTATAGCTGAAGCTGTTTTTGTAATAGTCTGTGCGCGGTAATGGAACATTGAGTTTATTTTCAGAGTCCCTTAGGTTATATGCGACTTCTCGCCTTTAGTTTGGAGCCAACGCGTGCAGAGACCTGTAAACCATCGTAGCTCTTTGAATTTGTTGCTGGCAAGCTAGGTTTTTCCACCCCAGAAGTTTGAAAAGGTGACCAGCATTACGTCATAGCTTGAATAGGTCAAAACACGGGCTGCTCTGTTTTGTAGCTTTTGAACCTTATTCCGTAAGGTTATCCCACAGTTTCCACAAACAATGTTGCAATACAGTAAACACCCGCATATCAGAACAAGCAGATTAAGAACACCAGGCTGAAATTTGGCCAATAAAGCCCCATTTTTATAAGAACAAGATTAGCCTGAAAGTTGTAACTTGTTCTTATAAAATGGAAAAAGTGTCATGATTACAAAGCATGTAAGTTTATGATATAATATAATATATAATATGATCAAATTACAGGATAATTATTTATTTTATTTTGCTAAAATATGCTTAAAATATACCTCTAGCAACATGTTTTGGATAGTATTACTTAATAAAAATTTAAGAACATTTTGAGGCTGATTTGTCATTAAGCACCCGATAAATAAGAACTCAATCAGCCTGACGTCCAAAATCGTGTGTTCTTATATGCGGGTGTTTACTGTAATCAAAGTGTGGCTGTATTAAAGCTTGATATATTAGTTGTAAGGTCGCCTGAGGGACAAGGTGCCTTATTCGTTTTATGGCCCCAATACCAGAAGCGACTTTCTTTGCTACATTCTCGATATGGCCACTCCAATCAAGTCTGTCATCGATGGTCACTCCAAGTGATTTTGCAGTAGTGACCTGACTAACTTGAAAATCATTAATTGCAAATGTCGGGGACTCTGTGAGAGTACTTAGCCTCTGCCGAGATCCGATAAGCATAAATTGGGTTTTAGTCATATTTAGAGTAAGTTTGTTTGCTCTCAGCCGATTATGAACATTTTCTAAATCTTGATTTAGATGCAACTGAATATTGTCTGCATTATCACCTGCGTATGTAAGGTGGGTGTCATCAGCGTACATCCTCGGCTCACAATTTGAAAGACAGTTTGGAAGATCGTTGATGTATAACAGAAATAGTAGTGGACCTAGAATCGTCCCCTGGGGAAGACCACAACTTAATAAACAGCTTTGAGAGAGCGATCCGTTGATGAAGCACATTTGAGTACGATTCTCTAAATATGACTTAAACCATTGGTGCGCGTTACCATATATGCCGTAAGTGCTTAATTTTGATAAAAGGATCTCATGGTCAACTGTGTCGAAGGCCTTTTTGAGATCTAAGAAAACAACGGCGATATTGTACGCCCAAGTGTCTGTGGCCTCAAGGAGAGCCGTGACAGTTGAGTAAATAGCACGAAAGCCTGATTGATATTTACAGATTATATTGTGCTCTTCTAGGTAGGCATATAATTGATCATAGACGATTCTTTCAAAGACCTTGGCCATAACTGAGATCACCGAAATTGGACGATAATTATTTAAGTCGTCCCGATCGCCTTGTTTAAAAAGTGGGGTGACCTTTGCGCATTTCCAGTCATTCGGAAATATGCCTTGACTTATTGACAGGTTAAAAATATCACGGATAGGAATGCAAATGAGATCTGCACATTCCCGAATTAGCCTAGCAGATATCTTGTCAAGGCCACCTGCCTTTGACTTATTTAGACGATTCGAAAGTGAGAGAACTTTATTTGTACTGGTCGGATGGAGCTGAAACCGTTTATCTGTGCCAGTGAGGTACTTTTGATAACCATCACTATTTGAGGAATCCATATTGCTAGCAAGTTCCGGACCGATAGTAGCAAAGTGATTATTAAATTGGTTCGACAGCACAGTTGGATTTGTTATTGATACTCTATTTACTTTCAGAGATGTCACCGATTTTTTCCCAGATTTTCGCGAAGTAAGTTCATTGATAGTCTGCCAGGTCTTTTTAGAATCGCCCGTATGCTTGTTAAAACTATTTTCATAATAGGCTTGCTTGGCTAATCTGATTTCGCTATTTACTATATTGCGTTGTTTTTTAAAAAGTGACCAGTCATTTGAATCATTCGATTTACTTGCTTTAATCTTAAGAATATCCCGATCATGAATTCGTTTCTTAAGCTCAGATGTAATCCATGGGGAACTACGCGTGCGCACACGCATTGTTCTCAAGGGAGCATGCTTGTTAGCAATAGATAGAAACGAGCATTTCCATTGTAGCCACATTTCATTGGGATCAGTTGAATTGTATATGTGATCCCAACTATGAGATGCAATATCGTTCCGAAAATTTATTCGATTAAATTTTCGAAAGTTTCTGTAGGTTATAGCATTGTGCCCACCAGACATTCCATTCACGGATAATTTTCGATAGGCAAAAACTATGCTATGATCGCTAATACTGATATGACGAATCCCCGAACACACAACTTGTAACTGGCGAGATAATTCCCATTGGATTAAATATGTTAGCCACAACCTCACAGATGCTTCATTTCGTTGGTGGTAACTTACGGGTCAACTGTACTAAGGGTTTGAGTGGTAACATCAATCAGTCTTCAAAGTAGTTCCAGTTACCTCCAAGAACCTGTTTGCACTGACAATATGCTGCCTTTTCCATTCCAATTGTGGCTTTGGCACAAGTTTCATCGTCATCTCGGAAACTGCTCTTTAACACTTGATGACTCGCAACATGCATTAGAAGTATGTCCGGCCAACCTCATAGTAAGCATGGAACAAACTGTTCATTCGCAAAGTATACGATATAAAAGAATCTCGGCAACTAAATCAAAAGACGTGAATGTCTGAGAATGCGTTTATGATCAGAGTGGAATTTAATATCCGCTTGAAAAAAGAGCCCAAAAATTTATCTAAAAATATAACCGGTTGGCGATGACGCCATGAAATACCCCTAGAAAGGGAGCTGCTTGCTTTGGTTTATTTGATTGAGTTTGAATGGTAACTTGATAATAAGAGTGAGGAGGAGAAGGCTGTTTTTAACTAGGTTGATCTTGCTCACTTGGTTGACCCTGTTTACTAGGGTAATTTATGGGTTTAGTTTTAAGTAAGGGATTTTGTGTTCATCATGTGTTCTATTTCGTGACATTCTAGTTTTAGCTTTGTCTGAAATCCTGCAAGTGATACCTTACGTTATTGTAATATATTGCTCGTTATGGGTCACAAGTAACTATAGTTTGGTTCTGAGACCCCTAAATTACTGTCCTCGACTTATTTCATTTATTTATCTATCCCATGTAAGATAAAAGGAATAAATAGCCGGCATGTCTTACCCGTTTCTAGTTGGATACCACTTGATGTCGTTGGTGGATCTTTCAGTTCACTTTCTTCGTCCCGTTCAACATACAGACTGATGATGATGTCTAGAATGATTAGGGTTATTGGAATGCCTTTCAAGACAGTGATGGGGGTTGGTGACTAGAATAACATATTAAGCCACTTGTGGGATGTTTGACAAATCATTCCCAAGCACTGGATAACTAGTATTTCTTAATATTAAGGGAGCCCTACTGCGCGGGAAGCGGGCACCATAGGCAATACATTTTTGTTCTCTATGCAACTAAGATATTTTACTGCGACCCAAATTTAATCGTCTACCTTCGCACTTTGTAATTGTATCATCCCTATGAGCGTACGTTGGTCCATACTTCATGTCTGGCGGATGTAAAATGTCATACTTGCAAACACAGAGTTTAAGGCATATGTTATGGTTTATTGACCAATTTAAAAATTGGGTATCCGCTGACCAGTGTCATAAATATGACTGTATCTAGGGCTCATGGCTTTCACTTGATTGCAGGCTCCAAAAGCTGTAAAATGTGAGTGGTTCTAAAAAAACAGCATTGGACCAGAGGATACGCTTCAGGGTTATATGCTTCTGGCAGAGAAGAATGATTGCCTATTTGATGAGTAAATACTTACGCAGTGCTTGTTTATTAAGTAACTTTAGCTAGTCGTTTAATTGCATGTCCATAAAAATGTCCGACAGAGCTGTAGTATTAAAGATGTACGAAAGCTAAGGCCATAAGAGTTAAATTTTTGGACAGGTTATATTTGATGCGGTCATTAAAAACACAGAAAACTGTTTGATTGTTAAAATGATTACCTTCATCGATTTTATCTAGCGTTGTTTGCCTCAGAAATTTTCTGGCCACTAGAAAACAAATTTTGTTAACTTTAATCACGAAAAAGGAAATTGCTTAATTCAAATACAATTTATAACATTAATCAAGGAAAAGTACAATCTTCTATTACTCAGCGACGACCAGTGCAGGGCTTCACAACGATCTTGGTAAGGCATTTCGCCCCTTTGCTGACCTAAGGCCAATTGCGATGTCCTTTTCTGGACTTTTTCTAAATGGGCAATGTCTTTGACAAGTAACGGATCGATACTTGTGATGCATACTCAAGTATTTGTCTAACGAGAGACTTGTATGAAGTGAAGAAAATGTTCTTTTCTGCAGAACCGACTGTATGCTTTATAAGACCAAGGACTTTATATGCTTTGTTTACCCCCTCAACTATGTGTAAAGTCCCTGAAAGATCGTGCAAGTTTGTAATGCTGAGGTCTTTTACAGAAGCCACTAAATTGGTCTCCATGAGGGACAAGTGTATAATTCCGGACAGATTTGTCTTGAGCGCGTGTTACCCGCATAACTTAAGATTTGCTCACATTGAAATCTAGTCACCAGGTATCAGACCTACCCTTGAGGCGGACCAAGTCAGACTGAAGGGCGTCCATGTACTTAGTAATGTCGGAGATCTCTCTAGAAACTTTGTTGTCATCTGAATACAGTTTAACCGTGGACGAAATTTCGGATGAGAGGTCATTGACATACAAGATAAATAAAGCTGGTTCAAGAATTGTTACCTGGTGTCCGCCCGATAAAACTGACGGGATGTTGTTCATCCCCATGAGTTTTGGAGACTTTGAAATTTTCATGTGCTCAATCCTTGTGTGTTCAATGCACAAACTAGCCTAGTCTTCCTTTATTCCAGTCGGTAGCGGGTCATCCCAGTCAATTTTCTGTTTGCAGACCTCTTGAAACAGTACCTTTATCTGAAATGTAACTGGCGAGATAATTCCCAATGGATCAAATATCTTAGCCACAACCTTACAGATGCTTCATTTCATTGGTAGTGACTTATGGGCCAACTGTGCTAAGGGTTTGAGTGGTAAGATCAAACAGTCTTCAAAGTAGTTCCAGTTACCTCCAAGAACCTGTTCACACTGACAATATGCTGCCTTTTCCATTCCAATGGTGGCTTTTGCACAAGTTTCATCGTCATCACGGAAACTGCTCTTTAAGAGGCTGTCCGCATAAAACCCGATAAGGCAAATTTCGGTCTAAGTAGTTATACAGGGATGAAGATAAGCCCCGTTGGTGCCTTCCCTTGCCTTCCGTATGCCTTCCCTTAATTGATATGCATAAGCCTATGACGTCACCTCGGAAAGAAGTGTCTTCCTGCATACTAATTTGGATTAGGTTTACTAATGAGCGTCACTCTACTACAATAGGAACAATAGGCTTGCCTAGACTTGCCCGGGCTCTTTTAACCCTGATTGGATAGTAAACAATCCATTATGTGTTCAAGATTAGAGCGCGCTCTCCGTTCAGCATATTACTATTGCAATCACTTTGCTAAGGAAAACACAAAGTAAAATAAATCCTATGTGTGAATGTATTGGCTATGACTTTTTCATTTATGGTGGCTCCTAAAAGAGCCGTTTTTTTGATTTGACGTTAACTTACTTCTCCAGAAGTAAGTCTATCCCATTCATGAAGAGTGAGATGGCTTCTTCTTGCTCGGCAACTGTTTTGCGGAGTTTTAGCTCCCTGGAATGTTTGATAAGGTTGTCGGGCACTCTCGCCATGAAGTTTTGGTCTAATTGGACCTCCATCGTCTTTAGTCTCACTCCCTCTCTAATCTTCGGTAACGGTGTTTCATCAACTAAAGAGTTGTTGGCAAGAGACAAATCTCTCTCCACTTCCAACATTGCTTGGGTGATGAAAGCTTCTAGTTCAGGATCCATCGTTCACTGGTGTTATCCCACTCAAGATCGAATAGTGAATGTACACTGAATGATGAAAGTATTTATACCCTCTAATTAAACGACGGTTCGCTTTAATCATCCTACCGACTGCTTTAATCAAACTACCACCCGCTTTAATGTTCCTACAGTAATTCAAACTTTCGATCGCTTTAAAAACTTTTCATTCGACCGACTGCTTTAATCAAACTACCGCCCGCTTTAATGTTCAAAGTAAGTGTGTGAACTAGCTCGGGTGCCTTTTGTTTGACAAACAATAAGTCATACACAACACCTACTCTGATTAGATAGTCCCAGATGTAATGTTCAGTGTCTATGACAAGACCTGAACACTACGTGCAAGCTATTTTATGCCAAGTCTTGTTCGAGTTCGAGTCTCAGAACGTTTAACCCACAACAACATAAAAAATATGTCTGGTCAATATGGCTGACAAGTTTACTGTTGGAACCCCAAACACCCTCGAAAAAGTGTGGAATATTGATGTTGAAAGAGAATATCGGAAACTTAGCTGCCTGTTTCAAAACCCTGAACGGAACAATGGAATTATCACAGAAAGCTTAAGACAATTAAAAATGTTCATACACCAGCAGAGCACAACAATCATGTTTCATTGCTTTTTCGGAGAGAACTTAAGCGAATTTGAAATCGCCTGGGAGGTGATAAGTCTCTTCTTGGAACTTTTACAGAACGTGATGAAACATTCGCCAAGGTCGTGTGGATACAAATAACAAACCTGATCAAAATGGTCCAATTTCGGTGTGGAAGTAATTTCACCGTTTTACCCACGGACGGTAAAAACTCTTAACAGTGGAGATGAGAGGATCCTGTAAACCTCGAGCCTAGTCAACTCACCGGATTTCGAAAGATTACGAGAAAACGCAAAATACGAGACCTTAAACACTGAAAGTCAAGAATTCCAAGCGACCCAAACACCAGCGTCAGCATGGAGTTATCGAGGATCGGACACTTTTTAATTAGTAGAATAAATGTCCTACCGTGAGAATCGATGCACTGTGAATTAAAAAAGGAAATAAAACGTTTTTGTCTACCTATAAACTTTGTTGATCATTTATTACTTAATCACTGTTACAAGTTCCCTTAACCAGTAGTCATTTGCATCTGACCCATGACTCTTTTGTGTTCTAATAAATTAATCAAAGCTAGTAGACTCAGACACCAAAACAAAACACACAATACAACTTTCGCTTTTCACAGTATTCAAAACATACATTACAACTTTTGCTACGAGAGAAATTTCGTTTCGTGTTGAACAACAAAACGTAACGGAGTGAACTGAAACTGTAATATTAAACAATTTCTTATAACAAAGATTTAGATAGTTGTCGTTCTTTTTTAAAGAGGGGTAGCCACAGAGGCGTCTGCCGTTCGCAGACTAAAATGATTCATCAGGAAAATCACAACGTGGTCATAAAGGTCACGCCAGCATCATATTGCCTTGCGGTCACCTTTGAACTAATTAGGCATGGGGTCCTCTAAACAAAAGCGATCTGAAACCAAGAAGAACTTTAAGCGTGAAATTTAGCTTTTAAGCAGCGTTTTAGATAAGTGTTTACTGAAAACAATATTCCTGTAAGGATTATACAGACAACACCCTGTGTATTTGTTCAAGCTAAGACAGGCGTCGCATCCATACGCGCACCCGCTCTTTTCTAAAAATCCGAAAGAACTCTTTTCTTGTCCGTTTAATGAATCAAACTTTTGATTATTGTTACCATTGATATGATTAATTATTAGAAGCTCTTTTCTTAGAACCTAACATAATAGTAACCTAATGAGCTCTGTTACTTAAGAAGATGGTTAGCGAAACCATTATCCACTTTCCTGGGTATAACCTTTTCCACGAATTCCACGAAATGGCAGTCGCGTATGAAAACGAAGACTTCGTGCTCAGCACTGAGTACGCTGAACACATCAATGAGCGCCACGTGGATACAGATAAAGCTCCGCGAGCAAGCAAGTTCTACCAGAAGTTTAACTTGACCGCAACCTTGGCGTTACTCACTCGTCGAACCTGGGAACAGAGAGACGACTTTGTCATCATTGAGAGCGGATTCAAGACGGGACACGACGAGTATTTTAGGTACGTCTTTGAGATGAGAAAAGTTATAGGAACTTGCCCGTGGGGTTTTCCCACTAAGGAGATCTGTATCTACTACCCGCATAATCCAAAAATCGCTAACAAGTTCCGAATTATCTCCGCGTATCCCTTTTCGTTGGGGTATCACAACTTTCTAAAACAGCGAAAGCTTGGGCTCCCAATGTATTAAACCCTACAGGATGTTGTAGGTAGAAAACAAACGGCTCTTTTAGGAGCCACCATAAATGAAAAAGTCATAGCCAATTTTACCACAATTTTAATGAAAATTAAACTTAGTCCCTAAAATATAATCAACGGACTTTTATTTTAAAAGATTTGAGCGTAACATTCAGCTATTAAGCGGAGAAAACATGAGATCCGTTGCGTATTTACAAGGCAGTGACATCAAATATTACGTGTTCCTCGCTATCAGCGTCAAAATTGAACAGACTTAGTTCACAGGAAAGCGGAAGTGTTCTGGTACGATGTCTTGTTTTGCACAGTTTTACAACACCTTTCAAACAAAAGATAATGACCGGCATTGATAAAACGGATGAAACCAAAACAGTCATATAAATAATTATAGACGTTCCAGGGTGTGATGATGGTAGTCTTGTAGTCGTTGTTGGTTGGGCTAGTTTCCTAGTCTTTAGAGTTTTTCTGGTGGGAGTTCCAGCGTGTGATGATGGTAGTCTTGTAGTCTTTAGAGTTTTTCTGGTCATTGCCATTTCACAGTCAGTGATTACCCCAAATATTGTCTTGTCCGGGAACCCTCTACAGTCAAACGGATTGTCCCTCAGATCCACCATTTTTAAATTGGGAAGTTGTTCCCTCAACACCGAAAAGTTTACTTGAACCAATGAATTATGTCTCAAGTTCAGTGCAGTGTAGTTTACCAGTGGAACTGAATTAGGTACCACCATCAAATTCACTCGGGAACAGTCGATTAGTCGCAGCTCCTCCTTGCAGTAACATCTGTTTTTGAAACACCTCATCCCCCAAATATTAACACAAAACAAGCAGAAGAATAAAACAACCCACCATAGAGTTCCTAGAAATCCACCCATCTTGCTTTAAAATCTCCCATGTGTAACATGAAATGTGAGGATGTGTTAGAATAGAAATTTGAGAATTTCGGGAAAAATAGGCAAACAAAAGAGCTTACCACAAGAAATTTGTCGTTAATTTAACACGAAACAACAGCCGAAAAGTCAACACCCCACTGTTCCGGAAACTGGATAATATCACAGAAGATACTTATGAAGTAGAGTCTTGTAAGAAAACTATTAAGTTAAACTTACCTATTCAAGTCGGGTTTTTTGTGTATCAGTATGCTAAGTTACGCATGCTGCAGTTTTACTATGATTTTCTAGACAAGTATCTCGATCGCAGCGATTTTCAAATGTGTGAAATGGATACGGATTCAGCGTATATCGCTATTGCTGGAGAGAGTGTGGAAAGTTTAGTCAAACCAGAATTGAAAGCAGAGTTCGAAGCCGATAAATGCAACTGGTTTCCCCGTACAGATACACCCGAGCATAAAGCCTATGATAAGCGAACCCCGGGTCTTTTTAAGGTTGAGTGGGAGGGACAAGGAATTATCGGGTTGTGTTCAAAAACCTACTACTGTTTTGGGGCCAAAGATAAGTTTTCTTGCAAAGGAGTCAATAAGAAATGCAATGACATTAACAAAGATAAATACCTTAATGTCTTACTTACAAAACAAAATAGTGCTGGGGTGAATCGAGGGTTCAGAGTTGTAAGTAATACTATGTACACTTATACCCAGGTCAGAGATGCCTTTTCGTATTTTTACCCGAAACGTAAAGTTTTGGCTGATGGAGTTAGCACCACTCCACTCGACACTTAAAGTGTTCAAGTTTGTAAAAAATGGATTTTGTAAATAATTTTAGTTTTCTCAAGTTTGTATTATATTACTCTCAAAAATAGTTTTCAGAAATATTTACGTAAGATTGCTTCTAATTGTAAATAGTATATTTGCGTAGCTTTTCACAGGTGTTTGTACATAGCAAATTAGTTTGTAAATAAATCATTGGTTGAATTTAATCGTGGCTTGTTTCCTGACTCGACGCGCACGACTTACACGCGAGATCTCCACGCGCGCCCAGGGGAAAAAACACAGGGCTAAAAAGATGCCCTTGAAACTCAACAATAAATTTCGTGTCGCAAATAGTTTTACTCAGTTGGTATCTAACATTCGTCCTGTCAGCATGAAGAAACTAAAATGTAAACACTGCCCCATACCGGGATGTCGTTCTAAATTCTTAGTTCGATTAGCAAATCATTTAACTCAAGTCCACGAGTTATCGGAAATAGAACGAAAATATTGGCTTCAATTTGCAAAATTACAAAATACCAATGCGATTCGTGTGTATGACAAGGAGGGTGAACCCAAAACAATTTTTTTTTCTATAAATGAGAGTACGCACAAATCAGTTAATCAGTTGTGATCATGGACCCGAGATGGAAACATCCTTTCCCCGCGCTTGTGGCCGGCCCAACATGTTGTGGGAAAAGTCAGTTTGTAAAACGTTTACTAGAAGCAGGAGAAGACATGATTGATGGTGCCCCGGAAAATATCATCTGGTGTTATAGCATGTATCAACCAGCCTACGATGAGATGCTTAAAACTATTCCGTACATTATGTTTGTTGAAGGAGTGCCTGGTGATCTGGAAACCCTAATTAATCCCTCTATTCGGAATTTAGTCGTCATTGATGACTTAATGCACGAGCTTAGCAATGATCAGCGAATGACTAATTTGTTTACCAAGGGCTGTCACCATCGCAATCTCAGCGTGATCTTTATTCTCCAAAACATTTTTCATCGTGGAAAAGAACTGAGAGATATGAGTTTGAATTCTCATTACTTAGTGGTGTTCAAAAGCCCGCGTGATAGCAGTCAAGTCAATCATTTAGCAAGACAAATGTTTCCCGGTCATGTCAAATACATGCAAGAAGCGTTTGAGGATGCAACAAAAAGGCCCTATGGATATCTATTTTGTGATCTTAAACCGGAAACACCTACCGACTCCCGGCTGCGTACGAATATTTACCCCGGGGAGACTCAGTACGCTTACGTCAGAAAAGTATAATAAGCGTGAATCACATCAAATTTCTTCAGTTGAGGATGGCACAGCGACTTAGAAAGAACCACGATTTTCTGAAACTGCTTGTCAAGTGTACACCAGCTCAGCGTAAAGCCATTTTGAAGGTGGCAGACGACGCTTTAGTAAGAACCATTTGTGAGTGTGTTTTAAACGTGCTTAAAGGAACAGTGCCTGTCAGTAAGCCAGCCAAGAAAAAACTTTTACCACACAAGAAATCTTTGATCGCTTTAACCGAAAAAAGTACACCACTCGATAAGAAAAAGAAATTGTTGGTACAACACGGAGGAAATTTTTTAAGTGTTTTGCTACCTCCCGTTCTCCGTGTGTTGAGTTCGATTCTTACCTAAAATGAATCACACAAAGCGTATGGTTCTCGTGCCCGAGAACACCTTGGAAAGATTACAGCAGCGCCAGGAGATTTTAACTCCACCCGTCACACAAACTCTGAGAAACTTGGATAGTGAAATGACCGATATTTTATCCAGTAAAGAACTTGATGATGAACAAAAAGCTGGGCTTTACAATCAAGTGTTGCAGCGGTACTTGACTTATTACGATCAGCGAAAAGGTCAACCTCTTCATGTGAAAATATCAACCCCCAAAGCAGTAGAAACACCTAAACCAGAAGAAAATGAACAACCTTCGGAAGAACCTGTCCCGGAAAAATTCACTTCATCAGCCGTAGAGGCAGAGGTCATGAAAAGTGTACCCAAAATTTACAAAGCCGGGGCTAGACAATTGTTGGATAAAATTAAAGAGCATCAAGATGTATTGCATTGGAATGATAAAGGAGAGCTTTTGTATGAAACCAAACCCATTCCAGGTTCTCATCTGGTGGACCTAGTCAACGACACATTGCGCCACCGCAAAGGATTTGAACCAGTAGGATGGTCGGTGTTTGCGAGGGGTCTGGCCCGAATGAATGTCCCGGAAAATCTAGTGCGTAATCCACAGAGGCAAAGTGCTGTTCGAGAATTTAAAGCAAGGGTGAGAGACGAAACCCCTAACAGTCCTTCCCGTTGGCTACCTAGCCCACCTGTGACGGTATCCCCCGTGAAAAAACAGCGGCGAAGAAATGCGAGTCCACGCCCTGAGGCTGTGCGCTGGTTACGGTTATAAAATCACCACAAGAGACATTATTATTATTATTGTAAATAATCTCTTTATTTTGTTCACTCAATAAAAGATGTTGAAAAGAAATTACAAGGTGTTTATTTATTGAACTTTGTGCTGGGCTTGTGCTCTTTGCTTGTTTACATCAGTGCGATATTTCGGAAGACTTGTAGGAAAATGTTTTTCAATAAATCGCTTGACAAGACTATCATTTTTACGTGTGTTATTAGAAAAACGATGCACAATTGTACTCATACTTATTTGCCGACTACGATATAAAGCAAAATACAAACAGTAATGTCCGCAGACTTTGGAATAGATGTTATGTAATGTCACGGTATTAAAAATCCACTGGTTAGAATTGTTGTTTAAAAAGGTAGTAAATGTTCCCGAATATTTGCTGGGAGGTGCTCCGTAAGAATCGAAAAATTCTCCCTCTTGCTCCTTGGTGAAATAAAACGCCACCCAATGCGAACCTGGCTTGTCACTCGTATCCACATTGGCAATGTATAGGGCTGGATATTGCGAAACACTTGCAGGCAGCTTGTCTGAGGAATACACGCCTTGAAACACACCTCGTGTAAATTTATCCTTTCTCAAAATAAGGGTCAGTTGAATGGTGTCCATTTTAGTTTGTGTAATCGTAGAGAACGTTTCTGTTTGCGTCGACCTCAATCACGTTTTGAAATTCAGCGTAGACGATAAGATTAACAGTGTTGGCGAGTGCTTCCGAGAAATGAAGCTCCAAGCGTAGATTTCCTTGTTTTATAAGCTCAAAATGATCTCCTGGGCTGTGATCTGGGGTCAAATCAAAAGCGAATAAGGTGTAACCAGAGCCATAATCACTTCTATTTATCTGATTGCCCGTATCCTGGGAAAGCTTTCCAGTACCAGAGAAAAGACTTTGATAGCCGGCTATCACATTTTGACCATCAGCGGCGTCAAACTTCAGGAACAAAGGTTTTCGGGGGATTTGTTCTCCGTCCACGTACACACCCACTTGAGTTAAATTGTGGTGATTGAAGTTGAAGGGGTTGGTACGGTAACTCCCATTGTAAGCCTCTGTGTCCACTAATCCCAATACTATGCGCTTGGGAATTTGACCCAAAAAGATGTTGTCAGGGTTAAAACCGCTAAATCCTCTTGGAATAGAGAGCACTTTACAGTCGGTTCTGCGAATGGGGTACTTGGCGCTGGAGTGTTTTAGCTCAGCTGCATGGCCTAGAATGATAGAGGAGGCAACCTTGACTCTGCGTACAAACACGATGGCTTCTGTGATAACCACTTTGAAATTAGCTGCGGCTGCTGAGGACACAAGACAAAACACATTCTTGGCTCGGTTCAGTTTGATTCTTAAATTCACTCCATTGAGCATCAACCGATCTTGAAAGAATATATCACTGTGAATGGGTCCCATCATATCCACCGTATGACTCTCTTTGGTAAACTCATAGCGAGCCTTTAATCCAAGGTTTGCTTCATCGTCTGCAGCCAAGGGGTTCACTACATTCATCTTTCCAGCAGCATCTTTGTAAAACATAGCCATAGAAAGTTGACTTGTTTTAGCTTCTTCTCCGTAGTTCAGCAAAGACTCGATCATGGCACGATAAGGGTAAGTATTAGTGGATGGAGAGATCAATCGCTCATTCAACGAAACGTCTACTTGTGAAAACAGGGAATGTAGAAACAGGTTCACGTGACCCACTTGTGTATCGGCATCTAACGCAGTTCCGTTTGCTTTTTCGTGATCTTTAGCTTTCACATAAAGTTGTGTTCGCGCTAAATCTAAATATTCTTCCCGGTTCCAGATACGTTAAATTCAATAGGACCAGTGTCCGTGATGTTGCTGAGAGGATGATATTCAATCCATTGCCCTTTGTGAATAGAGGTTTGTGTAGCAGGAATAGTAAAAGATCCAGCTCTGATTTAGTACACTCGCGAGGCTCGTGATGAACGAAGGCCATTCTATTCTTTATGAAAAATGGTTTTCGATTTCTTCTCCTGTGGAGATGTTTTTGCTTTCTTTCCTGGAGGCGAACTGATTGTTGAGCCTTGCGCTTTCCTTTTTATAGCTTTTTTGCCTGCACCTGACTGTCCTTGCTGTGACTTCTGGGACGTCATGTTACCTATAGCTTGTTTAGCCTGTTTGCTGATTGCTGTTTTAATGTTATCTCCGCCAAGCACATCTTGGGCAACATTGACACCCGTTTGTAAAGCTTTTTTTTCAATCACCTTAGCACCTTGCTGCAGGTGAGGTATCGCCCAGCGGAACAGACCTTTAAATATGGATCCTAAGCCATAACCCCGCTGAAATCGAGCTCCGTGAAATGCGGGTAAATTTCCACCTTTTTGCTTGGCTTGATCTACATATTACTGTTCGTAAAACTTATGATTTGGGGCGTGGAGTTTTTTCATTTTTAAAAGTACTGAGGTTGACTCTGACGAAAATGAAGTGTTAACAACACTCTTCCAAACTCAAATGGCACAGATTCCCCTGTGTCTCGCTTTATGTTGACTTCGATGGTTTCAAATTGCTTTCTGCTGACAGGTACATATTGAGGGCGCACAAACGATTTACTGACTCGCTGACCGACCTCTCCTTCTACAGGAACAATTCGAAGCAAAGG